TGCAGGGAGTCCTGGCGTTCTCTTGATTCACTAATGTCCTTCTCAGGTGTCCTCAGAAAGAAAGCTGTGATCCTAGATTTGCTTTCTCAGTGCCTCTAAATAAAGAGAAAGCGACAATGGTCATTCTCTTAAGTTTCGTCCTCCCCACCCACCCCCATTCTTCTCATACCCAGGAAAGCTTGGCCTTGATCAAAGAGGAGGAGGGTGGTGCTGAGTCAAGAAACAGGATCAATCCCGTTGTGTTGTCTTCATTTTTTAAAAATAATTATTTTATATATTTGAAAGACAGAGTTACAGAGAGAAGTAGAGCCAGAGAGAGAGGTCTTCCATTCTGCTGGTTCACTGCCCAAATGACTATAACAACCAGAGCAGAGCTGATCTGAAGCCAGGAGCCAAGAGCTTCTTCCGGGTCTCCCACATGGGGCGCAGGGACCAAGGACTTGGACCATCTTCTACTGCTTTCCCAAGCCATAGCAGGGAGCTGGATCAGAAAAGGAGCAGCCTGTACTTGAACTGGTGCCCATATGGCATGCCGGTGCTGCAGGCTGGGGCTTTAACTCTCTGCACCACAGCGCCAGCCCCCATATACACAGTTTTAAGAATATAATGATACTTCTCACCCTACCCTCCCTCACTCTCTTCCACCCTCTTTTCTCTTTCCTTATTTTTGTTTTAATTTTTGGAAAGAAATATTTATAATTTATTTTATAATCATAAGCTTAACCCTCCACTAAATAAAGAATTCAACAAGTAATAAATAGAAAAGCCACTCTTTTAGACAAAGGTTATAAACTGTAATCAAATCTCAGAATGTCAATTTAGCTCATATACATTACTTTTTTGTACTCTGTATATTAGTAAATCAGGGGAAATACAATATTTGTCTTTTTGCTACTGGCTTATTTCACTAAACATTATGGTCTCCAATTGCATCCATTTTGTTCTGGAAGACAGAATTTAATCATTTTTTATAGCTGAGTAGTTAGTATTTCATTGTGTATTTTTGTCACAATGTTTTAATCGTTGGTTGATGGAAATCTGGGTTGATTCCATATCTTAGCTATTGTGAGCTGACCTGCTATAAACATAGGGTACAGGTTACTCTTTCATATGCTGATTTCATTTCCTTTGGGTAAATTTTCAGGAGTAGAATGGCTGGATCATGTGGTAGGTATGTATTCAGGTTTCTAAGGAATCTCCATATTGTCTTCAATAATAATAATACTATTTTCTCTGGGTTGTTTGGTCCAGTTTGAGATCCTTCCCAAAACAACTCACAAAAGGCAGGCTGGATGCAACAGCAAGAGGATTTTATTACCAGTTAGCTGGGGCTCTTACCGGCACATATGCTGAGGCAAGAAGCCCTGTCCCTCCTCCTCCCAGCATTTTTATGCACTCGAGTAAGCAAGTACACACGTCATTACACACGTAGGCGAGTTCCTTATTCCTTAAATGGCAGTTACCTAAATGTATGCATTTTATTGGTGCATTTGAGCAACTTAGGGGCTACTCCTCATACAGGAAGGAGGAATCTAAATTCCAGGAATAGTTTCACTCCATACCCTTAGGCCTGTCTTTTCTGGCTTAAAATAAAGCCTTTCATGGAGGAATGGCGGTTCTTGCGACAGGTCCTGAAAGCTTTTTTTTTTTTTTTTTTTCGATAGGCAGAGTGGACAGTGAGAGAGAGAGACAGAGAGAAAGGTCTTCCTTTTGCCGTTGGTTCACCCTCCAATGGCCGCCGCGGCCGGCGCGCTGTGGCCGGCGCACCGCGCTGATCCGGTGGCAGGAGCCAGGAGCCAGGAGCCAGGAGCCAGGTGCTTTTCCTGGTCTCCCATGGGGTGCAGGGCCCAAGCACCTGGGCCATCCTCCACTGCACTCCCTGGCCACAGCAGAGGGCTGGCCTGGAAGAGGGGCAACCGGCACAGAATCCGGCGCCCCGACCGGGACTAAAACCTGGTGTGCCGGCGCCGCTAGGCGGAGGATTAGCCTAGTGAGCCGCGGCACCGGCCCCTGAAAGCTTTTAAGACCAAGATTTTAATATGTTGCCCTATATTTTATATAATTTAATCTTAACATACTACATATTATTAAGACAATTTCAAATGTACTTAATCTAAACTAACTTACAGTTTGAATTAATTACTCATAACTGAGCTCCACAGGGTTCATGTTTATAAATTTTAATTTCAGAAGTAGAGTTGTTTCACTTCATGCACCTTTTCAGTTACTTGCACCATTAGATCGCAGTTACCTAATTGATATATCCTTTTCCTCATTCCCCCACTGAAGTGAAAATCCTGATGTGATCATTCCCCTGCACTTCCACATCAAATCCCATTTTTCCTCTCCCTTCCTGGACTTCATGAGTGTCAGTCATCCTTGATATATCAGCCTTTACTCCACAGTCCTATCATGGTGCATTTTTAAGTTGCTTCATTAATGCTCCCACTTGATTTATGGATTTATAAAAGGAAAATACACAAGTCACAACAAAACCCATAGAATATTTGATTTCTTAAAATGACTTTCACATAATACAATATGCATGGGACCTGTAAGCAAGAATAAATCTGGCATTTATCTGTTTCTTCATTATAATTCAGTTTGTTAGCTCACTGGAGTTCATAGTACCTTATGATCCTTTTGATTTCAGCGGCACCAGTTAGAAGGCATATCATTTTTTGAGGTTCGTCATTTACCTATTTATTGTCTTAAGATCCTGAATTGTGTATGTCTATGAACTCCTTCATATGGGTAATACTGAAGGAAGTTTGATTGTAGTGGTTCCGATGGTGTGTCCCTAGCTTTATGCTTACACTTTCATAGTAGTAGCAGTAACAGCGTTTCTGTTGTTTTGTGTTTCAATAGTATAAAAACAGATTGGATATCTGATGTTTCTACTAGCATTTTTGGAGTGTGACTTGTAAATGGTAACACACAAAATTATTTCAAGCAGCTTTTCTTCAGTGAGTCTTATCATATTGTATTTTCTGTTTAAATAAGTGAGAATTTTCTCCCTTCATAATCTGAAGCCATTTTATTAGGAGTAGAATTAGCTATTCCTTAAAGGACTAAGGACAACATCCTTGGAGGCCTGGGCATTTGGGATGACATACATAATTTCTGATGACGCTTTTAAAATTTTTTCTGTTTTTTTTTAAAGATTTATTTATTTATTTGAGAGGCAGAGCTACAGACAGAGAGGGGCAGAGACAAAGAAAGAGGCCATCCACCTGCTAGTTCACTCCCCAAATGGCTGTAATAGCCAGAGCTGGGCTGATACCAAAACCAGGAGCCAGGAGCATCCTGCGGGTCTCCCACGTGGGTGCAGGGCTCCAAGCACTTGGGCCATCTTCCACTGCTTTCCCAGGCCATCAGCAGGGAGCTGGATCTGAAGCGGAGCAGCTGGGATTCCAACTGGTGCCCATATGGGATGCTGGTGTTACAGGCAGAGGCTTAACCTAGTATGCTACAGCACTGATCCTGATTTCTTATTTAAAGATTTTTATTTATTTATTTGAAAGAGTTACAGAAAGAGAAGGGGAGGGAGGGAGAGGGAGAGAGAGAGAGAGATCTTCCATCTGCTGATTTACTCCCCAGATGGCTGCGATGTCTGAGGCTTGGCCAGGACAAACCTGGGAGCCAGGAGATTCTTCCAGGTCTCCTACATGGGTGCAGGCCACTAGCAGGTAGCTGGATCAGAAGTGGAGCAGCCAGGATTCGAACCGGTGGCCATGTGGGATGCTGGTGTCACAGGTGGCGGCTTAACCAGCTACGCCCCAACACGGACCCCTATATTTCTTCATAATTCTTAAACATTGTTTGCTTCACTTTATGTAATTTATGTTTTACATCCTTCTACTTATGAGAGCTTATGGAATGTATTATCACAGACCCTAGAATGATATCTTTCTAATTGAAATACTTCTGATTTTTTTCTCTTTCTCTGCCTAAGGAAGAATCCTTGAGAGACAGATGAATGACTTTTCACCCAGCATCTCCTATTCACCCATGATCGCATTTGGAGTATTTTTAGGATCTAAGTATTGTTAGGAAAACAACTTCAAATTTTCTACATGTTTAAGGATTTTTACTGGTTTATAAATATCCCTAGCTCTACTGTGTTTTGTGTTTGCTGGCTGTGGTTTGGCCATTTCTTCTTTGTTCATTCACTGAGGTTTTGAGCAAACCAGATAAAGAGGTAGACAGCCAGGTCCTTCCACGTCCAGGAGCACTCTGTGGATCATGTGAGGGAGTTCCTGCAAATCCCAGGCAACGCTAGACTCTGGGCTGGAGAGGAAATGGCCCAAATATGGGACAGTCGTTCCTCTGGCATTGTGGACTTCATTTGTGAAGGCCAGACTAGCAAGTAATGGGAGACACATTTCTACACATGTGGGGCTGCGGCTTGGTGCAGGAAACTCTTAGGACAAGAGCATTCCATATCTGAGCGCCTGGGTTCAGTCCTGGCTCTGTTTCCAGTACAAGCTTTCTGCTAATGCACACCCTGGGAGGCAGCAGCGATGGCTCAAGTACTGTGGTCCCTGCTACCCTCGTGGGGGACCCAGGCTGAATACTGGGTTGCTGCATGGCCCCAGCCAAGGCAGGTATTTGGAGAGTGAACAAGCAGGTGGAACACTCATTACTGTCTTTCTCTGTGTCTTTTCTTTCAGACAAATAAAAGAAATAACAATTAAAAATGTTCTACACTCAAATTTTAGTGACGTCTTCTCAATGTATTCATGGTGTCACCTGAGTTAAATGATGTGGTACAGTGACGTTTTGTTCTGTGGGGCATTTTCCTGTTGGATACAGGCAACAGGTGTTTTTGGTATGGCCAGCTGTCTGCTGATTGGCTGATGTGATACCAGACAGGAGGGCTGTCCAATCACGTCCTGCGCCATGCTGCTTAGCGCCAGGTGACCCCGTGGCCTGTCATCCAATCAGCCGTCGAGTTCCTCTGTGACGTCAGACAATCCTGCCTAAATAAAACCGGTGAGGCCTGTGGGCTGGCGTCCTTGTGTGCGGTTCCTGGCTACAAGTCGCTGTCCCGCGGTGGCTGAGCCCGCCTCTCACCAGGCTTCTGAGGAGAACCTGGTCAGCCTGGAGTGTGAGAAGGCGCTCTCGCCCACGCCGGAGCAGAAGCCCAGGCACTGCACTGCTCGCGGCTGCCGCCCTGGCCGCGAGCAGAGCTTCAGGACGGCCTCAGCGCGTCCCGCAGGCCAGGAGCATCGTGGGCTCCTCCGTGAGGGACAGTGTCAAGTGCATCGTGATGTGGCCGCCAGCCTGGTCCGCTACAGAAGCACTGGACCCTCGCCTCCAGAGACGTGCAGAGCGCGGTTCGCCTCCTGCTGCCCGGGGAGCTCCACAAGCACGCGGGCGTGGATGGCACGAAGGCCCTCCCGAAGCTCTGCAGATGCAGGTGAGCCGCCTCGGGACCACCTGCCCCGACCTCCCCGGGTCCTTTCAGACCCACCCTCTCAGGAAAAGGCCTGTAGCACCGCCCAGGTGGACTGGCCTCAGGCGAGAGGCAGGGGATGTCTGCTTAAAGACCTTCTTCACTGACGTTTCCACGTTGTCAACGCCAGTATATTTCTGTATTTCCGTTTAGTCCTAGGTAATCGGTGCTCTTCTAGTCTTGTTGCAAGTCGTCTCTTTGCGAGGGGTCATTTGTGTTAGTTTTGTTGTTGTGGTTTGTTTACATTTTCCTCTCTGGGAGTGTTTTGGTTTGAATCACCTTTGCCTTTTTCCGTTCTGGTCTCGGAGTTCAGGGTGAAATCTTGCATGACTTCATTTCCTGTGAAGTGCCAGCAGGTAGCCTGGTAAGTAGATGCAGAAGTCCACCTACCCTCTTATAGACCAGAGACCGAGGAGACTTTCAGATGCCTAGTGTCAGTCACCTCTCTCCAGTTTGATAAATGCACTGTTCCTGTCAGCTAGCCATGGGTATTGACATGATGCACTTTGTTAGGATTTTAATTTTTATTTTATTTTATTTTTTTGACAGGCAGAGTGGACAGTGAGAGAGAGAGAGAGAGAGAGACAGAGAGAAAGGTCTTCCTTTGCCGTTGGTTCACCCTCCAATGGCCAGCGCACTGCGCTGATCCGAAGCCAGGAGCCAGGTGCTTTTCCTGGTTTCCAATGGGGTGCAGGGCCCAAGGACTTGGGCCATCCTCCACTGTACTCCCTGGCCACAGCAGAGAGCTGGCCTGGAAGAGGGGCAACCGGGACAGAATCCGGCGCCCCGACCGGGACTAGAACCCGGTGTGCCGGCGCCGCAGGAGGAGGATTAGCCTATTGAGCCACGGCACCGGCTATTAGGATTTTAAATTCAGTTTTCATACAGATCCACTAAAATCTGTTCTTACACATTCTATTTTAAAGATTTATTTTATTTATTTGAAAGACAGAGTTACAGAGGTAGAGATTTTCCATCCGCTGGCTCACTCCCCAGATTCCACAATGGCCGGAGCTGTGGCGATCCGAATCCAGAATCCAGGAGCTTCCTCCGAGTCTCCCATGTGAGTGCAGGGGCCCAAGGACTTGGGCCATCTTCTGCTGCTTTCCCAGGCCATAGCAGAGTGCTGGAAAGGAAGAGGAGCAGCCGAGACTAGAACCGGCGCCCATCTGGGATGCTTCAGGCCGGGGCTTTAACTCTCTGCGCCACAGCGCCGGCCCCTGTTCTCATACATTTTATGATAAATATTGGCTTATAGAACCCATATTAAAGTTCTTTGCGTCCTACTAATTTCTAGATGTCTCAAGATGTCTTGAGGCCATAATATTTTAAATAGTTCCTCATTTGCGGTGCAGTCAAATCAACAGAAATGTCTGGCCCCTGTGAAATGGTTAACCCTTTTTAAAAAACTCAATACTTTATGTTCTTAAGATTTTCATGTCATAGTGCTGTTAGAAAGCTTTGTAGTCACCTTCCTGATTCTCATTAACACACATGATTTTTGCCTGTGTTTCAGGATCTTGTGTTCACAGTAACTTTCGTGTGTGTGTGTGTGTGTGTTTTAGGCATTTTCGATAACATAATACATACCAAACATTCACATTTGCTTTTCTAACACCTTTTGAGATTAGCAGAGCCTGTAGGTTATTCATCTGAATCATCTTTAGTGATTTTCCAATATTAAATGGAGCTAACCTTTTTTTCTTTAAAAAAATTATTTATTTAAAGTCAGAGTTACACAGAGGGGAGAGGCAGAGAGCGCGAGATTTTCCATCTGCTGGTTCACTCCCCAGTTGGCCGCTACGGCCATAGCTGTACCGATCCAAAGCCAGGAACTAGGAGGTGCTCTGGGTCTCCCATGTGGGTGCAGGGGCCCAAGGATTTGGGCCATCTTCTGCTTTCCCAGGCCAAAGCAGAGAGATTGTTCGAAAGTGGTGCAGCCGGGTCTTGAACCCATGCCCATATGGGATGCCGGCACTGCAGGTGGTGACTTTACCCACTGAGCCACAGCGCCAGCCCCAGCCTTCTTTGTTTATATTTATATTTAATTCCTTTTAGCCGGCGCCGTGGCTCAATAGGCTAATCCTCCACCTTGCGGCGCCGGCACACCGGGTTCTAGTCCCGGTCGGGGCACCGGATTCTGTCCTGGTTGCCCCTCTTCCAGGCCAGCTCTCTGCTATGGCCAGGGAGTGCAGTGGAGGATGGCCCAGGTGCTTGGGCCCTGCACCCCGTGGGAGAACAGGAAAAGTACCTGGATCCTGGCTCCTGCCATCGGATCAGCGCGGTGCGCCGGCTGCAGTGGCGGCCATTGGAGGGTGAACCAACGGCAAAAGGAAGACCTTTCTCTCTCTGTCTCTCTCTCTCACTGTCCACTCTGCCTATCAAAAATAAAAGTAAAATAAAAAAAATAATAAAAAATAAAAAAATATATTTAATTCCTTTTAATCAAATTTATAGAAATACGATTTACATAAAACAAAATGCTCTAATTTGAAGTATACATTTCAGTGACTTTTTACTAAGGTGCATTTTGACAAATAAACCCATCTATACCACAATCAAGATACAGAATATATCAATAAAATTGTTCCCTTATGTCTGTTTCTCATCAGCTTCAATCCTACCACTAACCCTAGAAAATCACTCATTTTTCTACCAGCATTCCTGATTTCCTCTTCCTAGAATTTTATAGAAATGGAATAATATAACACGTACTCTTTTGTGTCAAGCTTCTTTCACTCAGTATATTTTCTTTGTTTATATGTTTCCTTTCTAATTTTTACTTAGTTTTTAACAGATTCAGTGTAGTTTGTAGATGTAAATCTGACTATGCTGATATTTCCTTTTTCCTTCCCCACTACCCTCCTTCCTCTTTATTTTATTTTCATTTTTTAAAAATTTTAGTTAATGTAAGAGAATAGATTTCATATATTTTATAGGTACAATTCTAAGAAGATAACCGTACTTCCCTCCTTCCCTTTCTCCCTCCTTCAGTCCCTCTCCTTTGTTCCTTATTTAATTTTGGCAGGAATATAATTTCAATCTACTCTGTAATCACAGGCTTAATGAACTACTAAGCATAATATTCAACAAGTGAAAAATAGAAAGACCACAGTTCCACAGGAATATAACCAAGGGCTAGAAACAAATCACAAGATGTCCTTTCATTCCTGTACATTTTTTTGCATTTTATATTAACTCACATGTCAGAGAAATGGAATCTTTTTGTTCACAAGGTTTGTGGAAAGTTAATATCCTTTTGCATGTGTCCTCATGTTGGAATTTCTGACTGTGTAGGGCCAACAATAGGTTACAGCTTGGGCTTCTCATGACACGTGTTCCTTCCCAAGTTACAGCTTGGGCTTCTCATGACATGTGTTTCTTCACAAGTCCCTGAAGCCCCCACTGTATCCTAAGGGTTTCAGTTTTCAAGCAGCAGTAAGAAGCTGGACCGTAGAGTAGGGCAAATCAGGGCTCAGGGGAGTGAGCTTGATCTCTTGGATAGTGTTTCCTCCACCTGTCTTTGCGCCGCCAGCAATCTGGGCTCCTCATATTTGAAGGACAGCTGTGCTGACAGCATCGGCTGTTCTCCACCCTGAACACTTCCAACTGGGGCAGGCTCTGCATCCCGGGTATTCTCCTACCCCTGTTCATAGCCACTCAATTCTCAGCAAGGTGGATGGCTCAAAATCATATTCCTAGTTTGTTGATTTATTATTTTCTCCTCAGTGACAGGCTGGTTACTCCTTCCAAGAGGTTAGACCCCCCCCCCCCTTTACATGAGGGAATTGTGGATCCTTGCCCGAGCCGATGTAAGAATTGCAAAAGAAACTGAGACATGAGCCTTGTTTCTTCCTTAACAGGTAGGGTGACCATATGCTTGGCTTTCTGATACATGTAGACAATTGTTAGAATGAATAGGGTATGTAAATAATTGTGCTAGGGAAAAGAGGTGAAATTAAGACATGTGGCCACATTCGTAAGAAAAAGATGTAGGAATAGAATACCAATGCCTGTTGCATTTTAGTAATTTGCAGAACACACAGGTTGGTGGGGGAAATGAGTGTGTTTTGCTTTTCATAACACATTCAGGATTTGCTCCCCTAGAAGTTCTGGTGTCTGTTTTGTTGTTTTTAGAAAAACATTTCCAAGCTCAATGAACAGGGAGAAGGAAAAGAGCACAATGTGTGTCTATTTGGGTCTTATCTGATGTGAGTAATGTTGAATGGGAGCAGATTGGATAGCAAACATGATTAAGGGTGCAGGTTCTGTAGTCAGATGAGACCTGGGTTCGACCCCCAGCTGTACCTCCTACTGCATGCACTGCCTTGGGTAAGTGCCTTGACATCTCTGAGACTCAGTTTCCCATCTGTAGAACCAGGGTCTCCAAGGGTATCCCAAGGGTTCAGTGGGATGAGGCAGAGAGCTGGGTGCACATCCAGCAATGACTGATGGTGGCTGTGCTTACTTATCCTAAGTTCTGGGATTCATGCCCTCAGGCAAGTAGGGAGTGCTACTTGTGTGTGATACATCTGCAATGACCTTGCTCACTCTGATTCTTTTATTCTTTGCTGCATCTACGTATTGTATTCATTCCAAATCACAATCATATTTTCCAATTCTTATATTTATTTCCTCTTTAATTCATTATTTCTGTATAGTAGTTTATTTCAGAAATATGATTTTCAAAGTTATTGTGCTGTTGATCTTTTAACTTAGTTACATTGCACTCAGAGAACATGATTTGTATGTTATTTCTTGACACTTGTTTATGACCAATACATGTTTAATCTTCATAAATATTTATCAAGTACTTAAAACATTCTCCAACTTTTGGGTTCAGTTTACTGTGTAACTTCATTTGATTAAGCAAATGATTTTTGTTCTTTTGTGCCACTTGCTTATAGATGCACGAAATCTCTTTTGTGGCTACTGTCTTAGCTCACTCTTTGTGATTCTGTCAT